TATATATGAGAGTTGAGGAGTATGGGAACCTACGGGTACACCCATCGCATAAAATGGATAATCCCTCGCGAGCCTATGGGTCGCACGAATGCTCGACCAATCAAATAATCTCTTATTAGATTGACACTTTTCACATACTCCGAAAGGATAAAATCGTACGAGTATACCCATCGCATAAAACGGATAATCCCTCGTGAGCCTATGGGTCGCACGAATGATCGACCAATCAAATAATCCCTTATTAGATTGGCACTTTTCATATACTCCGAAAGGATAAAACCGTACGGGTACACCCATTACATAAAACAGATAATTCCTCGCGAGCCTATGGGTCGCACAAATGATCGACCAATCAAATAGTCCCTTAGTAGATTGGTGCTAGAAGCCTCCACCTCGATCGAGCAAACTCACTCCCGAATAATACACATCGGCCATGAGCCTTTGGCTCCCCTATAGGACGGAGCATTCATAAGATCATTTAGTTTCACATTGGTTGAGGACTAAATATCACTATCCACAGCCCTCCCTTGCTCTCAATTATAAGTAAAACACAGAGGGCAATAGCCCGCCCTTGTTCTTAGTCTTCTTGTACCTCCTTCTCTCGTTATTATTCATCAATGAGAAAATTGAGAGAATCTATTTTTCTTATGATATGTAATTATCCCTCGTCGTCGACCAAAGATAACAAATGACAAAGAATGGTCTTTGTAGTATTTATCATTGGTCTAATAAGATTAGATGGAGAGGGGTGGTCATATTTATGATGTTACGTAATAATTTTTTAAAATTGAAACGTTATATGATAAATTCTCATATTTATGATTTTTTTTAAAAATTCGTTATATATATATATATATATATATATATATATATATATACGAGGGTAAAAGAGTAAAAAGAAGTAGATGGATTTCAAGCGTCCTCATGTGATTACGTGGCAGTCTCCGTAGTTTTCGTTTCTCAAATCCTTGATGTCGTGGAATCAAACCCTTTTTTGACCTCTGCTTTGAAGCGGCGAGCGGCAATCGGAGGTGGTCTCCGAACGGCCCAGTCGCCGTCCTTCCGCTCCCCTGTCCCAGCCGATTGACCTCTCTCGTGGCTGCGCGCTTTGATCATGCCTTGGGAGCGGATGAGGTAGGAACGGCTCCTTGGCGTTCTTGATGCCTTTTGACTGATTGGGATAGAAGGTTTTTTAGCTTTCCTTCGTTTGATTGTATTTTGTTGTCGGTTCTTTGGTTCTTGATTGATGCGGTGAATGCGATGAGACATCTCAATCGAGTCCTTATCTGCCTCTCTTGATAATCTGGGGGCCGTTGATCTTCGGTGAAAAATGAATAGATTTTGATTGAAGATGTAGGATTTTTGGGGCCTTTCCATTAGCTTTTCATTTTTGGGGTGCGATTAAGCAATGCTGAAATGCAACTTTGTTTAGTCTTAAAGCTTTTCTTGGGCTATCTTTTACCCTAAATATATTGGGTAAAAGGTTGCTAATTCTCCTGCACATGGTTGTGGTACAAGAAGCAGAGGATTTTTCTTCGAAGTTTGAGTAACCAAGATAGTTATATTTCACATAACCGCAGGATTTTCTTTTCTCCGATATTAAGGAGAACAGCGATTCTCAATGACAAATCAAACTTTTGGTGTTATCCGAGGAGAGTGAAGAAAAAGAGTGGTAGGACTAGTTTAACCAGCTAACGAATTCTTGTCTTTGTTGTTGTTTCTTGTCCTCATCTGTCTCCTCTAATCTTTTGGTTGCTAGTTCGTTCTCATTAAAGACCAGGTGCTTCTTCTGAGACCTTTTATTGCGTAGATTCACATAACCAAATGACCAACGCTTACTTAGTAATGATTGGAGTTTTACTCTGCCACTGCCTCCTTTCTTTCCTGAAGTTCTTGCATATCTTCCCCTGATCTTGGACATTCAATTCTAAGCGTATGTTGGCCTACATGTGTATAGCTTTGGACCTCATGAATTCAATCAATAATTGTTTTCTTGGACCCAGTAACAAACCTGCACAAGTATCAAGATCTGGCAGATGGGACAAAGTAGATTTTTTGCATTCCACCCCAGAGATTTGGAAGAAGGATCTCGAGGAGGGGCTTGGGAGACCTACAAATTTAAGAGAGAGATGGGTTGGGCTGGAGTGAAAATGTTTATAAGAAAAGAAGTGAGTAGTAGTTGTAAGTTTAAATCATTTAGGCATAGATGCTCTGGACTATATCTAAGGAGAAGCCATTAGCAGATCATGTTGTGAGCCTACTTCTTTATGTAAATCAAAGATCCATAGAAGGCAAAAATGCATTGAGATCTTTATCAGGCATATTGTCTGATCATCCCGCATAGGTGTATATTTTAACTAATTGCCTAAATTTAGGAATAACTGCTAAACACAAAGACATGGCATCAAAAAACAAAATCCATTATACTCTGTGATAGACGGAGTGAGTTTGAAGTGGATGTTACAAAAATTAATCAACGAAAATGGGTTTATTGGTAATCTTATATTGTATTGAGTTTTATCCTAGCTTTGAGTTGGTTGTCTTATTTTTAGTCCTGATAATGCAAGCGGGGATCAAATGGAATGGACAGCCGGATCATGGATTGCTCATTTTATTCTCTAACTTTATTACGATGGCTAACAGTGGGAGTTACATCTCTTAAGAGAGTATTCAAGTTCTTGACCAAGTCATTTCTAATCATTGTATTCTTTGTAAGTTCTCTGTGAAAATCTTGTCACTCTGATGGCATCACTTTGTCTTGGCACCATGCATCTTTGGCTTTGTGCCATTTGCATGTTACTTGTGTGCAACTCATAGAACATATTGCTTATGCTTGTGTAAATTGGTGATAAAGTACTTTTATGATGATGCATGCATCTGTAAATTAGCGACAAGCTATTTTCTTTATTTTTGAACTTTTAGGCAATTCTACTATCCTTACATGTAATGTGTCATTTATATGTTGTAGTGTATGTTCATCTTTATGGATGCCAACTATCCTTTGGTACAAGCTTATCAATCTCTTAATGTTCATATGCATATTCTTGTACACAACTGAGTACAGATAGATAGATGAAAAAAGAAAAAAGGAAAAAAAAGAAGCTTTCAGTACTAACGTTAAATATTAAATTCTACAGGACCTTGTGGTACAAAGCTAATCAAACCCCTCTCTTCACCAGCTTCACCTATCCAACAGACAGATCAGATATGCTACTTCCTCCTACAAAACTGGTATTGTAAGTAACAGAGAACTGAGCACATCTAGAACAGAAAGCATGAATGTGGATCAAACTCTTTCTCATGCTAAGATGTCTAACATATCAAATTGTACTACTATAGTTGAAACCTCAATACAAGCTGAGCGTTGTAAACCTCAATGCTTTTGGCCTTGGTACTAAGAGTACAAAAATGGAGGATGGCCCCACTGGTGCAGAAAGATGCAGCTTATTAAGTAAAGTTCCCAGTTGTAACACATCCAACTCTGACAAGATGAAATGTCCCAAGGAGCAGCAGATATTTGATTGGACCGAGCACTTGCCGAGGTGCTGTTAAAGAAAAGGCAGTACTGGATTCAAAGATGATGTCGTAAGACCCCTCAGACAGCTGAAGCTCATGGGAGTATCGATGCACCCAGGCTATGTGAGCCTGAATATGCAAAATGATAATTTTGAGGGGAAGCTGTCCCAAGCATCAGGGCGATGGCACTGATGGGGAGAGCAATGAGCAGTTTCCAGACTCATCAATTTCAGAGAAAGGGATCATTAGTGGTGTGGAGTGTGGAGGAGTTTTGAAAGCTACAGGACGTTGGTTTTGAATCTCCAATCTTCTCGTGGACTTTCATGGCGAGAAAGGTACAATATGGTGGATCAAAACACTGTTGCGGTTGATGGATGTGGAACATTATCTGAGTTGGGTGGTTGTATTACATCAGTAGGTTTCTTGTGGACTTTTCTTATCTGTTGTGCTC